TACCTATTGGAAATTATCAATGGGAAGCTAGCCGTGAGTATTTACTTAAGAATCCAGCTATGCAAAAGAAATATCTCAAAAAGATTTTTAAGACTAAGTCAAATGCTTCGCGTGGATATTTCTTAAACATTAAAGCTCATTTCCATCTTAAGACCCATGATTATTTGAGAGATTTGCCTCCAGCAGTAGAGAATATCACTGTAGAAAAGAATTGGCTAAGTCCATATAATACAAAGCTTGTGAATAACTTAGATGGTGGGTGCTTTTCTAAAACAGAAAAGTTAGTCCCTCATCTTGGCCCAAGAAATGATTATGTTATCCATTATCAAGAGCTCCAATAAATACTATGTGAAGTTAGGCATGATTGTAGATGAGGTTTCAGAGATCCTTTCCTTCGACCAGACTAACTGGCTTGCTCCATATATTGCTTTCAATACAGAAAAACGACAAAATGCTAAGAATGCCTTTGAAAAAGACTTCTTCAAGCTCATGAACAATTCTGTATATGGTAAGACTATGGAAAATGTTCGCAAATACCAGGATGTCAAGATTATAAAGAATAATAATGAGCGGGACAAAAAGGCTTTCTTGAATAAAGTTCGCAAGCCATCTTTCAAGTATGCTAGATCGCTTGGACCTACATTAGTAGGTGCACATATGGAAAAGGCTAACGTGACTCTCAATAAGCCTATAATTATAGGTGCTTCAGTCTTGGGTCTTAATAAGTTTCACATGTATCGCTTCTGGTATAATTATATGAAGGAGCGATATGGTGATAAAGTCTAGCTCAGCTATATGGATACTGACTCCTTTATATTTCTAATCGAAACTGAAGACATTTATAAAGATATGGCTGAGCGACCAGATCTCTTCGATCTCAATGACTCTAAAACTATAGGCCTTTTCAAGGATGAGACGCCTAGTAATGTAATCACTGAGTCTATACATATTCAGGCCAAGTCTTACTACTATGTCTTAGCAGATAAGTCCACGAATTCTAGACATAAGGGGTTAGTAAAAAAGGTATAGGCGAGATGGCAACTAATACATACTTCCCATCCTTAGGGGGAACTTTGCTAGATAATCCAGTAGACCAATCTGAAGTTTTCAATCTAATGACCCAAGTATATCGGGACTGTCTCTTTGGTAAGGAAGTATTCTATGCAAAGAATGTAGGTATCTGATCAAAGAATCACATATTATCTCTGGTCGAATCTGAAAAGAAGGCCCTCTGCCTCATAGATACTAAGCGCTGGATCTTATCTGATAGAATTACTACTTTACTATATAATCATTGGTGAATTATGATATATAAGAATATGGTCAAAAATGATATACCCCATGAAGAGGCTGAAAAAAGAGCTATGAGGGCCAAGCTTTCAGAGAAATATCAAAACGAGTGTGTGTCTCATATATCTAGCTTTTAACTATAAGTTAGATAGTGATGTGTAGTCAGATCACATACATTATTATATTATTTTTTTTTCTAAAGCGATAAAAATTCAGTTTATTTTTTCCAGATATATAAAAATGCCTTCTAAAAAATATCAAACATATTATTCAGAAAAAGAAAAGGTATATACTATTCAAGAGATCAAAGAGAACATTATAACATTGGAACGTGATGTAACTAAAATACATTAAAATCTTAAAAGCATTGGGCGAGAAATCAATTATCTATATGATGCTATGACCAAATCATCTGAGTCCAGTACATCCGAGTCGAGTTCAGCTGAAGAAGCTTATACAATAGAGAAGGAACCCAGGGAATCAGTTTTTACACCACTTAACAAAGTAATACAGGTGAATAAAAAATCTGGTAATAAGAAGGTGAAATATAAAAGATATCTATCCTGTTCTGTTAATATTAATCAACTAATTATTGAATTGGGCAAATTAACTAGTAATGGGTAAGAAATCTAGAAATAATCGACGCAAGACCACAGGGCTGAAGGCACTTTGCATAAGTTCACTACTAATCTCACGCAGTATTTGCCATTAATAATATTTTTTCGATTAAAGATATAGGCTCATATAGTAAAGTATGGAATTTAATATCAATTTGCACAATATGGAAAGTTTAGATGAAATTATAGAAAATGCAAATAAAATATTAAAAAGGTGTTTCTAACAGGGGTTGCACCTGAATTTCGACAAGAAGCCTATATAATTAGTCTTAAATTAACATTGGATAGATTGACACAGGAGCTAGAGTTTACGCAAAAAGATGATTGTTCTTCTAAGCTAAGCAGTTCAGAGCAGTGATCTTCAACTCAGAAGAATTTACTGAGCTCTTTTTTCTGACTTCGAATTTATGAAAAGGTGGGTTATAGTTAGTTTTTTTATTTCGCGGGATCGCTAAGAGATCATCAGCTGGAGGCACTAATCATAAAGTCTTTTTTTTTTATTAATTTACAAGGGCTAATGAATGACGAAATGCTGTGTGTAATTGCTAATGAAAATTCAGCAATATCTTACTCCTGCGACCCTATAAAATAAGCTAGAAATATTATCTTTTTTTTTTAGAAAAAACATTATTATGGAAAACCAAGAGAGCTCCGCTAGAGTCGAAAGCCCAAATACTCCTGTTGATAACAATATAGAGGAGCCAGAAGAATCGGATATAGAAGATCAAACTGACAACATCCAAAGCAGTAATATTTACAAAGTACAACTGAAGCGTGACAGATCCCTTAAATCTCTTGCGTTGAGTATACTAAAATATCTTCCTGAAGATATTCTTCATGAAGAACCAGACTTTTCATCTATTAAATCACATGATACTATCCAGAATTGTGAGGTGTGTCGAGAATGTGATAAGCCTGTTTTAACAGAAAACCCACCTAGATCTCTCGTTTTAAATGTTTGTGGTGATATAGTTCATCGGACTTATGCGAGAAAACCTGATAAGAGGTGTGTATTAGAATGCTCATGTGGTATAGCTGATGATAAAGATCCGTCATTGTCTTCAGAAGAAATAGACATGGATGAGAAGAATAATGAGGATGGGGAAGTAGAATCAACTCTGCTAGAGGAAACTGACTCAGCTTCTAACAGTAAGAGCAAGAAACGGGTTAATGAAAATACAGATTCTTCAGCCAGCAAGAAATCCAAGAAACGTGATCTAGATGAGGACTCTAATATTTTAAAAAGACTCATCCGGGAGTTGTCTTCTGATACCACTCGAATTTCAGTAATTAAGGAAAAGAAAGATCTCTAAAGAGAATCAATGCAAGAAGATAGAAGTACCCAAATTTTTTTTAATCTGTATTTTAAGATCACCAATGCTGAAGAGTGAAATGAAAAGGCATGCCATGAACTCATTATAGCTTATTACCATTATGGAGAGGAACTAGAGAAACACCTTGTCCATTATAGAGAAGGATACAAAGAACATGAAGCCCTAAAGAAGCTTTATGATGAGGTTAAAGATCAGCTTTCCAAAGAGGTTACCAAAAATGCTATTCAGAAGAAATCGAACAGGGCAAGGAAGGTCTATGATCTTTTTTTTCGTATTACTAATAATAAAATTCAACAGATGGTATTCATCAGACGAATAAAATCATTTTCAGCAACATCTATTTCGAATCTAAGTGATGATAATATCAGATATGTAGCGTCTTAGGTTAGGAAGAACACACGAACCTAAAGCCAAATAATAGTGGGATTCTGAGATTAAGCCACATGGCGCGTTCTCAAAATTTAGCACTTTTTTTTATAAATAGTATTGTAAAGCATGATTATCATAAATCAAATAATAAAGTTTTGCGATCCCAAGACCTATCCATATCAAGCCTAGTGTTTTTATCATGTATAATAATGCCGTGTATGTAAAAAAATGGTCAATCATCTCATGATTTATAGAAACTCGTTAACGTCTGGAACTTTCGAGAAACTGGGCCGTAGGCGCTTCATACAGGGAACTAGAGGAGATCTCATGTGATACAAATTTTTATGTTATACATTATGCAAAACTCCTTCAGCTAATCCTTGATAATCACGAGAGATCCACAAACCGCATGTAAATATAAAATTAGCTTAGCCTAAGATATGACCCTATATAAATCAAATAAAAATGAATCTGATATTTTATTATCATATATTTGCTATAAATCACTATAAGTCATTAAAATTGGTAAAAACTATAAATTACTAAACTGCTATCCTATATCCGTAAAATGGTTAAAATAGCTGAAAAGCGCATAGCATCATTTAATCATATACAAACAAATACGAACAAAGTGGGAAGAGTATCATCACTTAGTTCTGATGAGATTGATGGAATTTTTATAAATTATTCTATTTATCCACAGCGTGGTTTTTATACATATAATACAGATTATAAATTTAGACAAAGAATTGCTTATTCCATATTTAACAG